AGCCAAGTGCAAGCGTGAGAACGGCCAAGGCTGCGAGAAGAACGGTGCGATGTGGTACCCGAAATGCGAGAAGGGTTTTCGCAGCGTCGGCTGCTGCATCTGCTCGCCCGATTGTCTCGCAGGGCTCGTCGACGACGGCGCGTTCTGCCGCAAGGACAGTTACGGTCGCGGCGTCGGCGTCTCTCGCCTCGGGTGCCCCAAGCATCTCGAAAAAAGCGGTCTCTTCTGCTATCCGCCGTGCGCTGGTAACCAAGTCGGCGTCGGTCCCGTGTGCTGGCCCCGGTGCGTGAACCCTGCCGGTACTGACTGCGGCCTCTTCTGCACGTCCAGCGTCGCCACGTGCGTCAACACCGTCGTCGACATTGTTGGCCAATCGGCCAAGGTGACGCTCAGCTTGGTGGCCCAGGACTACACTGGCGCGATCAAGACTGCCGTCCAGACGGGCGGCAAGTACATCAGCTTGGATGCGTGCCCCAAGTAACGCCAATCATCGTTCGTTCAAGTAGTCGAAGACCATGTTGCATATTCGTCGACCTCGTCAATGTAGCGGGTTGGCATACATGTGTGTAAGGAGCAAAACTCCAGAAGAAATTGTGTGTTTGTTACCAGATTGTTTGTCTACGTGGCTCGGCCAGTCTCATTTTTACACATGCAAAGACATCGGTTTCGGAGCACCATGCGTTGATTTCCCACCTACAAAGCCTACGAATGGCCTGATGGAATTGCCCATCATCTGCTATACCATCTACGCGCTAGATCCATTGTCGATCATCCGACGTTAAAGCGAGCTCATTTGACGTCAAAACTTACTTGGGACACACGCCGAAGTGGATGATCAAGCCAATGTCATCTAGCGAAACAAGCGTGAGGGTGATCGTGGCCGACGACCCGAGGATATCGACGGTTGTGCTCACACACGCCACGACGCAATCGGGCCAGCAAAAGGGTCCGACTTGGTTGGTAGCGCACGGCGGGTAGCAGAAGAGACCAGTCTTTTCGAGATGGTTGAGGCGCGAGACACACCGCGGTGGCTGTGCTCCCGCACTACACTTCTTTTGGCGGCAGGTGCAGCAGCCGACCGCTTGTAGCCTTCGTTGCATTTGGGGTAGCAGAGCGCACCGTAGGCACCTGCAAAGCACTGGCTCACAACAGGCGACCCGACGCCTTGGCGACGACACACCTTGGTGTTGAGGTCCACCTGGACACTCCAAATGCGATTTGGGATCGCATTGACGATAGTCGACCTGTTGCTCGCGTTGAGGTTTGAGGTTTTAGAGGACGTCGCGGGTCGCGTTGATATGTCCTTGACAACGAGCGTTCCGAGATCGATCGCCAATTGGACGTTGGTGAGAAGACTCGCGCCGTTGATCGGTGTGAGGCCGTGGGTGGCGATGCTCTGGAGGTCGAGCGCGATGCTGCCGTTGACGGGAATGCCCGAAAGCACCGAGAGACCACCGTTGTGCGCAGTCGCCCATACCCGCGCCATGTCGGCGTCTGAGAGCATGGGCGACTCTTGAATGTGCTGGGTGGCGTGTTGTTGCGAGTGAGGCCATGCTCCATTGTGTTGTGCAAGTCGGTGGCGATGCAGCTTCGAGCGAACCGGCTGCAAACAATGACACGAGGACTAGAACGAGTGGCAACTGCTTTGGAAATGGCAGAATGAGGCTCTGGCCGCCGACGGGAAGCATTTATCCCTCCATGTATCGTCGATCAGACTCGGATGCGTCGAATGCGTCGACGAGAAAGCGATGCGAGATGGACCTTGGTCGTCCCGTGCGAGACTACCTGCTCTTGCCACCGCTTCCTCAAAACCCAATGACGGCATATATATATATGAACGTGTTTCGCGTTATCTTCGTTGTTACAAAGAGTTCGCATACGTAGAGACTAGCAATCTCCTTCTTCTTCATTCGCTCGCCGGGCCATGGCTGCGCAGGCGGCGGTGCGGGGGTGCATCTTGTTCTTCTGTAGTCGCCCGGGGGCGCTTGTGCCCGCGGGTGAGGCCCATGATGACAATGACGGCAAGGTTATAGACTACACTCGCTGGTGACATATCGATCGTTGTCTCTGGTGACGCGTTGACTCTGCGTATCGGTTCAATCTGCCGAGACTTTGGTCCCACCAAGTCAAGGAGGCTTCGTCTCACACGCCTCGCTCGTCACTCGAGACGTGGTGCAGCTCGCATCGAGGTGCCTGTTTTAAAGTACGATTCGCAGAGCTGCTCTATCGACTCTCTCCACAGGTACTCACCGAGCCATCGCCTAGCCCTAACAGCATGCGCGACTCCTGGAGTAATCGCGGCAGCCCGAAATCTACTTCGACTACGTAGCTACCGCATGCGTGCGTGAAGGGTGCGCCGCAACGAAAATCAAAAGGATGGAGAAGCCAGGATTTCCTGCTGCCAGTGTCTAGCGTCGAGCCCGTCCGACGACGACCATTGGCCGACACTGCCCATGACTGCCCGACGAGGATCGCTCTCTTCCTCATTACTTCCGCGTTACGAACCGACGTCGGTCGCGCATGTCGCGTCGCCGGTATGTGCACCCGCGCCGAAACCCACGTCCATAAACCAATAGACTAGCCGACGACTAGAATGTGCCGAATAGTCCTAAAAGTACCGTAGTAGATTAGCAAAACGACTAGGCAATCAGGGCGCATCAAGCAACAACGTCGTTGGAGGTTGTGACGTGCGCCTGGCGATCGTCGCCGGACGGTTCCGCCGAAGGTGCTCAGTCTCGGGCGGCGCGTTTGATTGGTCCGTCGCGCCAGGTGGCACTGGCCACTTCATCGCGTCGCCGTCGGACCCCGGGGCACGCAGGCTTTTTGCACCTATCGATATCTTGTGTGCCCCGGGCCACCATCACGCGGTGATCCAGCTCGTGGTGAAGCACTTGGCGAGATGAGCAGTGGTCGTAGCTGGCAGTGTCGCGAGCACAGGGGCACGGA